ATCTCCTACTTGGAGCTGAGTTTTCTCATCAACTATTGTCCATCGGCCAAATAAACCTTGGCAGAGGTCTCCCCATCCTACAGAACACATTGCTTGGGTGGCTTGTGGTGGGAAAAATATCTAACCAAAATTCAATTATTTCACCACAAGTTTGTGGAATATGCTCTGAAGATGAGCAAGATACGATGAAGGTTATCGAGCGGTTCTGGCAACTAGATGAACCAGAAAAGGCAAACAAAAATCTGTCTCCTTCCGAAGAGTTGTGCGAGTCTCATTTTGCAACTTATATGAAAAGGAATCAAGACGGTCAATTCAGTGTCAGATTACCCTTCAAGCAAGATCCATCGTTGCTTGGTGAGTCAAAACACATTGCCATTAACAGGTTTTTAGCGTTGGAAAGAAGACTCGATAAGGATGTAATACTCAAAACACAGTATGTACAGTTCATGAATGAATATGCTGATCTCGGACACATGGAAAGGGTTGACATCAACCAAGTCAATCCTCATTATGTCATCCCACATCATGGCGTTTTACGGCCCGATAGCAGCACCACGAAATTAAGAGTGGTATTTGATGCATCGTGCAAGACGAGTAGTGGACTATCGTTAAATGATACAATGTTTACTGGCCCTACAATTCAAGAGGAATTGTTTGCGATTTTACTTCGATTCAGGTGCCCAAGATTTGTCTTTTGTTCTGACATTCAAAAAATGTACAGACAAATTATTATTCAGCCCGAAGATCAAAGATATCAATTAATAGTCTGGAGAAGCAATAATAACGAACCCTTACAATTTTATCGATTAAAAACAGTCACCTATGGAACACGATCAGCCCCATATCTGGCTACTAAATGCTTACAACAGTTGGCGAAATCTGAGTTGCAAAAATATCCACTAGGTGCAGCAGCACTAAGTAATGACTTCTACGTAGATGATTGCCTAAGTGGATCAAATAGTCTCCAAACTGCCAAAGATATACAAACTCAGTTAAAAGGTTTGTTGGAATCAGCAGGATTCAAGCTAAGTAAATGGTGTGCCAACCATCCGTCACTTCTTCAAAATATTGCAAAAGAAGATCAAGAAGTTGATTTGGACTTTCAAAGTGACGACGCAACATCAATCAAAACATTAGGATTGACTTGGCAACCAAAAGAAGATCAATTTCGCATAAAATTAAAACTGGATCCACTAAAAATCATTACTAAAAGAACCATTACTTCGAACCTAGCCAAAATTTTCGACCCATTAGGACTACTAGGTCCAGTACTCGTAACAGCAAAAATACTAATTCAGGACCTATGGCAACTACAATTAACATGGGACGAAGCAGTACCAACCGAAATATACACTAGGTGGACTACCTTTTATGACGATCTACAAGTACTAGATCAATTTAAAATAGATCGTCATATATTCGGAAAACAGATGCCAGCACTTGAATCAATACAATTGCACGTATTTTGTGATGCTTCACAAAAGGCATACGGAGCCGCAGTCTACGTTCGAGCGAAACTAATGGATGGTCGACTAATAAATAGATTGTTGTGTTCCAAGTCTCGTGTTGCTCCACTCAAAAAACAAACGATTCCAAGGTTAGAACTGTGTTCAGCTCTATTAGGAGCGACATTGATGAAAAAGGTTAAGAACAATATAAATCATGATGTAGCAACATATTATTGGACTGATTCAGAAATCGTTCTATTCTGGATCAATTCTTCATCAGCAAGGCATCAACAATTCATAGCAAATAGAATCAATGCAATTCAGGAAATTAGCTTGCCTAATCAATGGCGTCACGTAAGATCTAAGGACAACCCAGCTGACTCATTATCACGGGGTATCAAGCCAGCTCAATTACTCGAAAATAACTTGTGGTTATACGGTCCACTCTTTCTTCATGGTTCCGAAAGCAACTGGCCTGGCGAATTCAATAAAACTCTCTGTATTGATCCGGTGAATCCTGAATGGAAACAAACGACAAGGGAAGTGGCCTTAATCTCAACTGATTACGATATCCATTGGATCGATAGAATCAATCACAGGAATTCATTTAGAACTCTACTACATACGGTGGGATATATGCTGCGATTTGTAAATCGGGCAAGGCGAACCAATTTAAGCAATATCACTATGGCTCTAAGCCCTATGGAACTGGAGCTGTCACTCAGGCATATAGTGAAGTACATACAACAGTCAGAACTAAAAGAAGAATTAAATCAGTTAGAACGCAACCAAACAGTAAAACCTGCAAGTACACTTGCTGGACTGATGCCATTTTTAGATGAACACAAGATAATTCGCGTGGGGGGAAGGTCAGAAGCATCATCACTGACATATGATGAAAGCACCAGATAGTCCTTCCATACAATAACCCTATTGTAAAACTGTAAATGAAAAACATACATGAACGAAATATGCACTGCGGCGGTCAAGCACTGCTGGCAGCAGCGAGACAAAAATTTTGGCCGATCAAGGGTAAAATTATGGCAAGATCAACTATTCACCATTGTGTTCGTTGTACTAGATGTAAACCAGTTACTTTTGAACAAGTCATGGGAAGTTTACCAAGGCATCGAGTACAGCCAAACAGGCCATTTTTTAATACCGGAGTTGACTTCTGCGGGCCTTTTTGGGTGCATTATAAGGTGAGAGGAAAACGTCCGCATAAGGCATACCTAGCAGTTTATTGTTGTTTTGCGACAAAGGCAGTACACTTGGAACTGGTAAGCGACTTGACAACAGAAGCATTTATCGGATCATTAAAACGTTTTATCGCACGACGCGGATGCTGCCAAAATATATACTGTGACAATGCAACGAATTTTGTCGGTGCCTCTAACAAGTTGCAGGAATTAACAACAACAATCCATTCCAATGTAGCTCAGGAACAAATAACAAAAACTTGCAGCAACAAGGGAATAGCATTTCACTTCATCCCTCCTCGTGCACCTCATTTTGATGGACTATGGGAAGCAGCGGTTAAATCAGCAAAGTACCTATTGGTCCGAAGCGTTTCAACTGAAACGTTAACGTACGAGGAACTCGAAACCGTCATTATAGAAATAGAAGCTATTTTAAACTCACGACCTTTAACACCAATGTCGTCTAATCCAAATGATTTGCAGGCTCTCACACCAGGTCATTTCTTAGTTGGTGATGCACTAACAGCACCCGTAGACGCAACATGTGAAAAGGTAAAATCATCTCTTTTGAATAGATGGAATCTGGTTGCACACTTAAAACAAGAGTTTTGGAAAAGATGGCGGGCAGAGTACCTAATGGAACTACAGGTTCGAAACAAGTGGCGTGAAGAATGCAAAAACATTGAAGAAAATACACTGGTGATCCTTAAAGAAGATAATGTACAACCTTTGCAATGGCCTTTAGGGCGAGTAATGAAGACATATAAGGGTAATGATGGATTTATACGAGTCGTAGATGTCAAAACCGCAACAGGCATGTTAAAGCGACCAATTCACAAACTAGCCCCCTTATTTCCTGAAAACAAACCTATTAAAACACAGGAGAATCGCCATAACAAAGAAGAACGAATGGACAATGAGATAGTCCCACGAAAACAAAGACGTGTGTCCTCCAATATAAAATTAACTACAGTACTGATATCTCTACTTTTACTCCCGATTGTTCTTTGTTCACCAGTAAACGTAACTGAACTTCGCTCCGCTCCTGGCATACATTTTGAACAAGTAGGAACAACAAAATTGATAACATCCCACTGGAAAATGATAATCTATTACGATTTAGCTCCATTTAATACAGAGCTGGACATACTAAAGGATTCAACGTTGAATCTTTTGAAGCTATGTGATCAAAGCAACTTAAATTCAACATGCAAGTTTGTGGTTCATCATTTCCAGCAAGCAGAAAGTGAATTGAGAACAGCATTTGAATTTATGTCAAGCGCCCGAAATAAGAGAGGGGCAATCGATTTAGTTGGGAATATAGCAAGTTCCCTGTTTGGAGTACTCGATTCCAATTATGCAAGTGACATGTCGAAGACGATCAAAACCCTAGAAGATCATGATGACAAACTCAAACATCTGCTCAAAAATCAAATATCAATAATTGACTCCACAATTAACGTTATAAAAAAAACCAGATAAGTCTCAAAAATAATTTCCAGGGTATAGAGACTCAATTAAACGCGATCTCCAAAAGGTTAGTTAAGGACGAACATGACCAATTATATGGCAATATTATTAACATGCTGAGCATCCAAATGACAATCGCCACGATAAATTTGCAACGTACGCAATCCACAATCATGGATGTTCTCATTGATAGTCATCACGAAAAAATTAACCCGCTTCTAATTACGCCGCAACAGTTAATAACGGAAGGAGAAAAAATCCGAGCACATTTACCGTCTCATTTACAATTTCCAGTAGAACAAGATGATATATTAACTCTTTATAAGCTGATGCAAGTAACTGGGCAGGTATCAAGTGACCATGTAATATTCAATATTATGATACCACTCGTTGAACGAAAAACCTTTGAAATATTTCATGTAGTACCTGTGATCTCTAGCGCGACCAAGGTATTAACGTCAATAAAGCCATCAACAGAATATCTGGCTATCAATTCTCACAAGGATGAATACTTCCCCATAACAAAATTAGCACTGCAATCGTGTATTACAACTGAAGAGGACTCATACCTTTGCTCAAATGTTCAATCTATTTATCGTCGTGGAGCAAATGTGTGCAAGTGTGAAATCAATTTGTACAATAATGGAACAGGTGACGAATGCAAAATAGTTGAATTAAAGGAAACTACCATTTGGACTCAGCTGAAACACAAAAATCACTGGATATACGCTACCAAATATCCGATGCAACTCAATGCAGTATGCGGTTCGAATGCATTTCCAGTGATACTGAATAGTACCGGCATGGTAAAAATTGCATCAAATTGTGTCATCAGAGACAACACGGTTCTTATTCAAGGACACCAAGTCATAACAAGTCTGCTCAAATCAGCATATACGAGCATAGGAATTTCAACACCTGAAATTAAGCTATCTAAGCGGATAAACAATTCTGAAATTGAATATCTTCCACAATTAAGAGAACTAACAATTCTGCAAAAACAACTAACGAAGGATACATTACCTGAACTATCATCAAAGGTACAGCAAACTGAAAAGCATAGCTTGTCAGTGGGGTACGCAGCCTTGTTTTTGATTATTGGAATCATCATCTTAAAAATAACTAAACTAATACGAAAAAATCAGACGCAAGGTCAACCGAATGTTCAGACACCTCAGCCGCTTCCAAGATCAAGGTCAACATTTGATATCACAACAACATAAAGATGACATCACTCTAGTTGAATTAAAATTCAACGCGGGGGAGGATATGTTAAGTATTACATTTATTTTGTCTTTTGCTGACCCATGATAAAATGCATTTAACGTAATCGTAATATATTAATAGGTTATATTTTTGCTGATTAGTGTTTATTTTATAACTAGGGCAAGAACACATTTTAAATAATTTATTGTTCATTGTTTTGGTAAATATTTTATGTAATTTGCTTGCTATTAATTACTCATTGTTTTGGTAAATATTTTATGTAATTTGCTTGCTATTAATTATTTATTGTTTTGCTGAATATTTTATGTGTCATTATAAGTAATATTTTTTGCTTGATATTAATTGGGTCAGTAAATTATTGTACGTAATAAGTTTTAGTAAGTAATTATTATAAGAAAAAATGTATATAAACAAATCAATTCTTTTAATAAAGCGTATTCGATGATACAAATTTGAATAGAACTTATCTTCTTTTCATAAAATTACCAACGGGTTTATGTGCTCGGTGGTATCTTCAAGAATATAAAAAGTATACAAATATACCGTCCAACAAGTCACATGTGCTTGGTGGAATTCCGGTATACAAATACAAATTGATAGAAACTTGAGAATAAAAGCATTCTCAACA